TAATGATTCTATGATTCTATGAAAACAAGTGTAAATACTGACTTAAATGGGCTTTGGATTGAGTCTAGTATTAAATTTTTAACAATCAGGAAATGGTTAATTCTACCTTGTGTTTTAATCACTGACAACATAATATCTAATCCTACAGTCAAGTGTCTCAAAACCAAAGTTCAACGTCCAGTATTACATGCACTATGCTATTTATAAACAGCTCAAAGTATCACCTTGACTTTGAATGTAATTGCTCCCAGGAAACAGTAAGAGATGTATTTGTCCTAATCCTTTAGCAAGCAATTGTAAAAGACTCCTTAGTTCTATCAAACTGTGCAATTTGAGAATACAGCATGAACAGCATCAGCTCTACACACAAGAGTGATGCACCAAGTCAGTTTTTGCAATATATCTGAAGATGCAACTGGAAAATACAGAATTCCACTTTACTGAACTGACAAATAGAAAATTACAACCTATTAAGTAATATATTCGTTTTATTTATCTCTATCATTAGTCTGATCAAATGATTTACAAGAGATTAGGAGGAAGGTTATGCCCCTCCAATCGTATTTACATCAATGAAAAGTATATAATATGCATTCTCCTAGTACGTTGTAAACATATTTCAACTCCTGACTGCCAAAACAGAAGATAACTAATAGGAAACGGGTTACTGTTCTTGGATTATCTGCTCCAGTCCCTCCCCTAAAAGAAGTTAATGAAGCCTCAATATTGTTCAAGCAAGCCTCTGGTACAGCTGCTGGTACAGGGAATGGTTTCAGCTGAGTAAATGCAGTATATAAGTACTTCAGGCTGCATGCAAGAACCACCTAGGGCAGATGGCTTTCTGTTGCCCGACATTTGTTCCATACCAGTTTGGATTCTGTCCTCTTGCTCTATGGTAACAGCACAACAGGGAATCAGTGTATCAAAAAAACGGTCCGTATTTCAGGAAAAAGGGAGAAGGGGAAATGGAATGCTATTTTTCTTGTGAAAAAAGCATGAAAAAGTTCAAAATCTGACTACGGTTTATATCAGATAGTATTGTCAGTGCCAGTAGACACAAGTCTTCCACCTTTTGGAAGAAAAATGTATTTTTAAAGGCATTCAGAAACATCCTTTCAAAATGGCAACTAGCTGGCATAAATTTGTAAGTATTTAGAAGTGTTTCAGAAACTCCTTACAACTAAGTGCCAATGCCCAGTACCTCACTCCTGCCCAACGGTTGCTTTGTTTCCACCGGTACGCCTTACCTAGCGTAGCTAGTTCTAATGTGCAGTTCTGCAGAGTATCACTGGTCTGGTTGACCACAAGCACATCCAGCACAATGTCATACTGATTGACATGGACATACGCTTCTGCATAGACGGGGTCTGAGAAACCTGTCAGTTGAGTAACCTGTGAAAGAAAAAGAGTTTAAGGTATTTTTCTACTCATAAAACCAGTTTAAAACATGGAATCCTGTCAAACAATGACAAAAAATAAGAATAAATAAATAATTAAATCCATTACTCTTTAATATGAGCCTCCAACCCAAGCAGGTGTGCAAAGAGCTTTTAATTTCATAGAACGAACTTACTAGTATGAAAAAAGGGAAAAAAATTAAAAGAAAATTGGAAAAAAACACTGCAAACAATCACCACACGTTTCGTCTAGAAAATAGTATTTAAAGAAGTTGTGATGTTTAGGAAATCAAAGTTCATGCATAGATCATCCAAAATAAAGAGATTTCATCGAGTTATAGCTAGACACACAGTGACTGTCGATATTATTCATACAAATAAATTTAACTGCATCCTTCCTTCACACGTCCTTATGCGTAGACATTACAATTACAAAACCTTTCCAGATAATGTATTCTGAACTGAATTCACGTAAGTTCCTAAAATATGGACTGTAATGCCATTTATTCTTATAAAGATCAGCAGGACAAAGAAATCCTGACTTAAAATGAAAAGGTAACTTCAAACAGTAAAAAGAATTCATCCATTTAAAGAATAAAAGTCTGGGTTTTTAACCCTAACTAATGAATGAATCAAGAGATTTTTTCTCTTTGGCGCTTCTCTGCAGGTCCTGGTAACCAGCAGCAAAAAAAGGTATAAAGAGTGAAACAAGGATGCACTGCGCTTGGCAACAGGATACGGCAGCCAAAGAAAGAAAGGGGTTCCTAATCACTTGTGACTTCCCCGCTCTCTTCCCTGTGAACCTTACTGGGCTCTTCAGACCAGAAAACAATCTTAATTTCTTCTCCACAACCCACCAGCTCAGCACTCCTCAAGTCTCCTCCTTATTCTTCCCCTCCCACGTGAAGAAGGTAACAACTTTAAGCACAAGGGCTTTTCTCTTTCTCCTGATCCTAACCAGGAAATATGTGGGTCTTTCCAATCAACCAGCATAGCCTGGTTCATCAGTTCCAGCCTGTGATTCCCAAAGCTGATCCTGTGCATAGCAGCACAAAGCGTATATAATTAAGACACTGACTTTCACATTACCTTATTAAGTTTGGATGCAAGGGGATCAGCAGCCTCTTTCCTCTGTGTGTTTCCCATTGCTGCAAGAAGGCTAAGCTGAAACTGGTCTTCTTTTGAGCTCATTTCATTTTTAGCAGTAAGCTGCATGAAGGAAATGGGATCGTCTGCCTGAACAGTCACATTCCTCTTCTCAGATTCTTTCTGCAGGAAAAGAAAGACTCAAGAATTCACAATGAATTCTATTCCTTAGCGCAGAAACACGGTCAAATAATGGCTGACTTAAACGCAGTCAAATGGTGACACTTCTGGGACCTGCTTGGATGTGAACATCCGTAAAAAATTCCAAGTGTTTATGGTTACACGCTTATGACAGCTCACCTTCTGGGAAAGTTTCTCCTCTTCTAGCTTGGCTGACAGCATATGAGAGAGGGACTGCCTGCATTCTTTGTTGAAAATATCATTCATGAGAGGAGAACATTCTGACAAAACTTTCAGACATAAGGAAATACGATCCACGTCGTCATCTGTAATCGGCTTCTTGGGAAGAGAGGACTTTCCCAAATGGAGAATAGTGGCCATCAGCAGCATAGCTTCAGCAATAAAGGACTGAGAAGGAGGACAACGGAAAGAGAATGGAAGCAGATTACTACATTTTACACAGAAATGTTTATTTCTGACTTATTTACAAAAAGGTGCACATTAATCTATTCAGAGATTTTATGGTTGTTTTTTGTTTGTTTGGTTGGTTGGTTGGTTTTTTTAGTACTTACTATCTAGAAACCAAGCAGCATGATTTAGAGACTGTCTAGATAGAGTGGATGGAAAGCAGTAGGCCCTGTTTGTGACCCAAATTATCACTATTATCCAAACACGTAACTGGTACTTTACTTTGGACTTAACCCATTTTGCATCTGTTTAAAAGAAAAGAGGCAACAACCAGCTCTTCTTTGCAACTACAGTGAAAACACAGTAGATGACTTACATTTTGCTTCTTCTTTTCCTGAACGAGCGACACATATCGTAAAGCAATCTTAGTTAAAGTTGTAGCAAGAGAAGCTGCAACAAAGAAGTCACCATCAAGCAGGAATCCTCGTAACGGAGGTCTGCAAAGACAAATGATAATCAGAAAACTAGTTTTGGATTACACTCTTTAGCCTACTTATCTTCATACCTTAACATCCATACTGTACAAACAAAACAAGCTTGAAAGGTCTCAGAAGTTTTTTTTTCCCCTCTAGAAGTAATTTTCCAGATATAGAGATATTCACAAGTCACATAGCCATTTCCACACAGAATAGGGAGTGAAGTGAAAAGTGTAATGGACAGTAATTTCATTGTAGCTCTAAGATGATAATGACTAGTCAAGATGAAGTAACCCATCTGCAATAATTAAGGAAATATAGCAATTGTTCTAGCTACCAATGAAATAAACTATAGCAAGTATTAAATAGTGCAAGGTGATATCAAGGAAAAAAAATGTTTTAACCTAAAGGCAACATCTCTGTATCCAATTAAAATTGTGAGGGGTCTTATGTATAAATTATAAAGAATCAACTAGAATTTAGGAAACCATAATTAATAATGTCCTTTTTGATATGCAGTAAGCTTTGATTACAAATCCTAAGCAATTAGGCAACTTCCTATCAGATACCATCTACTTGGGATAATTCCTTAAAACAGGGAATCACCTCAACCACTAAACTCTGCTTGAGAGAGAATACCATTTAAAAAAAAAATTAACCAAGTCACTCCTGGCCTAATATGAAATCTTATATACCTGTCTTCTTCCTTTTTGGCAGGTCGGGAACTACTGAGAGCACTCTGTGTTGCGTAAGTGCCCATCTCTGTCACCAGTTTTTGGGCTGGACCCACAGACACCTCTTCTTCAGGTTTTAGCTCACCAGCTTCTTTCTTGATTTCCGATTCTACTATTGGGATCTAGAAGTGAACAGGAAACAATTGTTACAATTAATATAAAAAAAAAGATATTTTTGTTCTGCAGAAGGTTTTCATAAAAATTATTTGCACTGTAAAAGGTCAGTAACAGCGCAACAATTTTGAGAGAATTTGAGGAGATAGGCAGATGTTGAAATATATACAGAAGCCTCCTACCAATGCATAAAGCTCACATTGCACAGATTGTCTTAGATCCCTCTCAGAACAACCCAGACTTAAAGCACTCTTCCTTTGTTAGTGGATATAATTAAACCCTATCTTAAAGCTGCCATAATTTTCTGAAATAAGGAATTTCTCATCTCCCCTCTTAACAGATATCACTTATTCCCAATATGTGCTAGCTTCAGGTATGCTACTTAAAAAAAAAATTAATAATGAATGCAAAACCCCAAGTAGTTTTTACTTTAGATTTCTTGTGCACATGCTGTTACAACACATCACAAATGCTCAAGCCCTGTTGCATCTTACCTGATTTTTTAAAAATAACGTTTTCTTAGAAAACATATAATAGTAAGTAAAACCACAAAGAGCTAGCCTAACAAAGTAAACACACCTCTCCAAGTGATCTGCGAACTTCTGTCATTACACTTTGTATATCTTCTTTTGTGCTGCAATATTCTCCAAGGATCCATAAAGCTCCTCGATAAATCCTAAAACCAGAACAGTAACTTAAGTCATGCTTTCATGATACACTCAAACTAGCATCAAGGGAAGTGATTTATGGTCAGGTGGTAAAGGCCAGTCTTGACAAATTCAAAAGGACGCTATTGACAGAAAGCAAGTTTGATCAAAAGCAATCATCCTTTCAGCCTTAGTAAACTAATGAACAAGAATATAAAATGAGATATATTTTCTGCTACAAATTCATTCCCATCTGTGTTAATCTGGATATTCACAAAATTAAATTTCATTATGATCATAAGGAAATAATTCTACTGTATGTGAATAAAGTCAGCTGTAATTTCTCCAGTTAACTGAGACAAACTAACTTTTCCTTCATACAGAAGAAAATGAAAAACAAGAACATGAATGAAGATTAGGGAAAAAAATAGCAAAGCTTCATCCCACTTAATGAGATGATGATGGAGATAGGATTTAGAGTTTCCCGTGTACTGGAAGAATGGCAGAGTGGTGTCTTGATACAGACAAGTTCTCATATGACTTAATTTTTGCAGATCCGTCAGAAAACCAAGTTTTTAGAGCCCTGAAAGATACAAAAGAAGCTCTGCAGATTGCAAAGCCCAGTCTATGTTAGACTGGGTTTTCTAATAAATGTACAGTAAGTATTTCCAGTTGCCTACAAGTGCACATTGCTGCTGCAATAATCCCTTAGTAACTCTATTTTAATAAATACATCACTTTAGCGTTGGCCTTCATCAACAATGCTGTCTTCTAGCAAGTGGAAATACAATTGCCAATTGCATCATAAAAATGAAATATGAATTTATTTTCTTCATTCAATGCAATAAGCACCCAATATATCTTTTGTACAAGTAGGCAGGAAGGAAGCTGTACCTAGAATTCATCTACCCCCAAAATATCTCAGTTTCAGTTATTCTTTGTGTGGGGGTTGCAAGGATTTTGGTACGTATTTAATGATAATACACATTCAATGCAAGTGAGCTACAGTGTGCTCCAATGTCTGATATCATATTTTGGACTCACTTGACAGATTTAATAGCGTGAAAGACTTCAAGCATCTTCTCAACAATAAGAGGTCTGAGGTTATCAAATCGCTGGATCGCTTCCCGCACAAACTCCAAGACATCAGCAGCTGCCGCTTCATTATTATCACTAAGGAACTCCATCAGCTAGCACAAAAGAGTGAACATGAGCACAAACAGCAGCACAGCTAAGTTAGTACAATAATATTTTCCTTCTACATTCAGAAAAATAGAATTGCATATACATCTCCCATTAAACAAAGCTGAAATCAAACAACCGTAAGTACATTCCAATCCATTACCAATTATCATAATCCCAAAGTTGTTTTTCTAATGATACAAATTATTGTACTTTTAAGTAAAGGTACTCTTCAACTCATGTTCTTCAAAAATATTTAAAAATAAAGTCTCATAAGACAAATAACTACAGCATCAAAAGTCCTGTATTTCTTTAGGGATTAAAAAGAGTGTTGCTTCATGTGAGGCCACATACTAGAAACACCTCAGCTTCAGTTATTCTCCGGGGTTTGGGTATAGCTAGAAAATACTTAATGACAATGTAATTAAACATTTGCATACCACTGGGATAACATTTGCAGCCATATCTGGAAACCGAACACTACAGGAATGCAATGTACGAACAAGCAGCTGTCTATACTTGTCTGTATCTTCATGCTCTGTAACATTATTAGTTTTAATCACTTCCTTCTTCAGAACAATCACAAGCTGCAGAAAGATAAAATAAAATTGAAGGAAGTCCCATATTCTTCCAAAGAATAAAAAATAGTGTAATGAAACAGAAGTAATATATATTTTACCTCCTCCACATTTCTTGAAGAGACGAGATCCAGAGCCAGTTGAAGGGTTTTTTTACGCACTTCTAGATCTGGGGTACTCAACACTCTGAGGATGTCCATAACTAGGTCCTGAAACAGTAACAAAACGATAACCACTCTGTTGATTTAAATGACTTCCTTTTCATACAATTCTAATTTTCAGTCCTCAATGATTTTCAAAGACGTTCTGGATACATAATATATAATCTACTGACAAACAAGCAAGATATCCTAGGCATTAGGAACTTCACAGTGTTCATTTAATACATTCTACATTCACACAAAGATGTAGCTTGCATGGTAGACCATTAAGTCTTACAATCAAAACAGCATTTGCCATTGCTAATTCTTACACAGACAACAAAAGCAGCAAGTCATAAACATAAAAGTCCATCAAATATGTTTTTACCAAAAACATATCAACAGAAGATTTAAATTGCAGAAGTGCATTTTTCCACACATCACAACACCTGAAAGTTTCATTTAGGAAAGAAAAGCCTTCAATAAGCTTGCAGGAAAAGAGACAGCTCACATACCTGTAACACTCGTTCATGGGAGGGATGCTCCTTTAATTCAATCAACCGATCCAAAACAATCAGTTTCACATTATTATCACTTTCTTTAATAATCAAATCTATGTAGCATTGGGCAGCTGCCTAAAATTAAAAGGATCAAAAAAACATTTTTTGAGTAATGAAGAGGAGAAACTGGCAAATTTCTAAGAGAAATTCAGGAAAAGACACCTTCTACATTATTATTAAACCAACTACTCAAAGAGTTGGCACAGAAATGAACCTGAGAACAGACTTTAAAACTTTCTGGGCCACTGTAAACATCGATTCCACCACATTACAAAAATTACACAGGAAGGCTCACAATGGCATCAGCTTACAATACACAGACTTGATTTCAAATTCAAAGAAAGTCATAAAGACATAAATTTCCTGGCATGCTTTGGGTCAGCTCTTAAGTACACACAGGGCATGAAAACCAATTTAAAATAGTTGCCAGCGTTAGCCTATCTAGATACGGTTTTAACGACAGCTTCTATGAACAATATTCCTACTCAACAAAAATGACTACGTTAAAGCAAGAATGTTGGAATTAATAGTCCTCCTGATCTTTTGAAACTATTGTTTACAATGCTTTTACTCTAAATCTAGACTTGCATATTCTATTTTTGAAATTTCCAACAAGGTCAAAATTTCTGTGTGATCTCAAATACAAACATAAATCTAGGAACCCAAGGTCAATCAGTAATCAATGTAAATCTTCACTGCTTTATGTTTCCACCCTGGTCTGAAAAGAGTACAGAATTTTTGAGTACAGAAAGTCATTCAATCTCTGCAAATCTTCAGCTTTAGTCTGCTTTGCTAAGTATGCCAAAAAGGTTGCAGGTTGGTATCAACTATTGTACAATAGTTTGCACAGTATTCAAGCTTGTCCCCTACCAAAGTGATATGAAGTCCACCAGCTGCAGGTCTGCAAAATACAGTCTCAGTCTTTTTTTGTGACCAATTTTAAAAGATATTTTAAGACAGTGTTTTGTATCAAGTGTTACCCACCCCACATTACTAAAGCCTTTGCTCTTTCAAAGTATCAATGTACAGGATACAGTATTCATTCCAGTGCACTAAAAGCTACCGAAACCTCTGAAAACATCACTTCCATACCTTGATTGCTGTTGGTGCACTGGAGAGTGTAACTAGAGTACCTGCAGCTTCATACTTCACTGCAGGACTCGATGACTGCAGTAAGTTGTAGATGCAGCGAATAAACCGAGCTCTCTCTGATGGATTCGCGTGACAGACCTAGATAATAAGAACAATGCATAGGTGGCACATAAAGAAAAAAGAAAATAGCAACCGTTTAGCTTAACTGCTCCATTATCTTACAACAACAACAAAATTAAGCAAAAGGTGACAACCTTTTCTGGGGATAAGAAGTGTCATTCACAGTTGTAAAAATCTAATTACAACAGCTATTAAAAAGCTATTATTGACAATTCTATGCACTGCTACAAGGTCTTAAAATCTCAGATCAAAAGGAAGGGCATAGCCTCTACTAGCTTCTGCAACAGATGCCCTGCTCACGTCCACGAAGAACAGTCTGATAATACACAGTCCACATCACAGCAAATCATGTGAGACATATTGCTCTACACTGTGCACACTTGAGCAGTTTATTGTTTCAAGAGACAAATCTTTTTCAGCTCTACTAAACAATGACATATTCTGACATGGACTAAATGCCAGCTATAATGCCTTTTCCAGCAACGTTCTATCCCTTTTAAAAAGCAGTCTAATATAATCTAACATGTACATTTATTTCAAATGTGCCACATTTCCCTTTTACCTTATAAATTAGTTCAACAATAACCAACTGCAGTATGTCACCAAATGTCTGGACTTGGTCAATACAGGTACTCAAATAATCCAAAGCTCGATCCTATACAAATAAAAGATAAGTTATTCTAAATTATTCTGAGTTTGCTCATTCAGCTATATTTTAAATCAAAACACATTTTAAAAATCAAAACACAAACCAGCATATATTCAACTCTTCAACTTGAAATTTAAAACAATTTACGAAAAAGTTGTAAATCTGAAGAGCAAATTAATCCATTCTGCCTATAGATGGTAAAGAGAGACAAAACTAATGGTAATCAGGCACAAAAGGCAATTGCCTGTAGAGCAAATAATCCAAAATGCTGAACAGAAATTGCCATTTCTTTCTCATGTGACTACAAAAGCTATAAAACTGTAGGTAATGGAGCACTTCTTAATCTGGTTAAGCTCACATGGCAAAACTAATTACAGTTTTCAGCACCAACATATGCCTTCACCAAATACAGTAATTCTCCTTTAAAATGAAGACAGCACTAAAGACCTACTTTAACTTTCTCAGTTACCAAATATTCCACAAATGGGTTAACACTACCACATACGGGTTTTTATGAATATAAATAGTTTATACTACCAACAAACTACTGGCTAGTTACCTAGCACATTTTCAAGTATTTTAACCAAGCGAGTTTGAGGACAAGTATCCTTACCTGATCTGCATGAATTAGCATCATAAATGCGTTTCTTTTGCAGCTTGCATCTTTCTCATTCACCAAGAAATCATGGATCAATTCAGGAGCATCAGGTATAAGATGTTCAAAATTTCTTTAAAAAAAAATCATAATTAAAAGAACTACTGGTAAGGAGTAGAACCTCAGGCTTAAGTGCATATCCTGAAGACAAGAATTTACAAAAATTCAAAAAGTGTAAAATGGTGATACATAGTTTTTTTGTAGCTATTTGAAACTGTGAACAGACTCAAGGAGCTTTAAAAAATTGTTTGTTATCATGATAGCTAAGACATTACCCCATCAATGATTTCTGCTTAATTATAACATTCAGCCACACTGTTCAGGTAACAACTGCAATAATGTTTAGTATATAACTGCAATACATGAAGAATGTCTCGCTTCAAATAAATTTATATATGCATATTCTGTAAGGATTCTTCTATATTTATGGACATTTGTGGACAATGATTACTATTAATAACATTTAGATAATTAAGAAAGGCATTTGCCCATACAAATTAACCTGCGATATAAGGATCTCAGAAAAAGCAGCAGCAGTACCTTTTGCTTTTCCGAAGTAGTCCGTTAGATAGAGGAGAAAAAGCAAACAAACAAACAAAACCCCAAACACCACACCAGTGATTGATAAATGTTTATGAGATCTCAAAAACTGTCCAGATCACTAAAGCTAGCCTTGGTCTTCTGCATCCACGACTTCAAATGGTTTCTGGCATTTACCTATAAATTGTGTAAATTGCAAGAACGGCATTTCTGCGCACATAGCTGTGACGATGTTCTAGACATGCACGAATGGCTGGCATCAAAGGCTCCAACAGTTCTGCTTCTTTCAGCTTACAAAGAAAACGGAGAGTAGAGCCTCGGATAAATTCATTTGGGTGCTGAAGATCCTAAAATCAACAAGAAACATATTTGAAATGCCAGACTATTCAGCCTAACTGTTAAGCTAAGATGAATGCACTTGCTAATCTTCTCCCACATTAAGCTTTCCCATGATACAAGCTCCCAACATCCACAACGACACCTCACTGTCTTCATTTGAAATACCTTCTTAAAACACTGCTGTTCCACAATATTTCAAAACATGTATTTCTGTGTAGTAAAACTTACAAAGCCTGATTATTTTTTTTCTGCATTGTATGTTTTCTCTGATTATTAGGGCTGTGAAAGCTCACCCTGCAGGCATCCTGCACCCTGGATTCTAACCTCTAGTGTGTATTATGTTCATCTGCTTCCAAACCATTCCCAAAGAAGCTGAAGGACCTTATTATCTTTGTGAAGGAGTGTCCCAAATACACCATGATGAAGCTATTCAAAAAATAGTGTCCTTCTATGTACCATGGCCTGTCCCAAAACACTATGAAGATGGTAATTAGGTTACCCCTCATATTTAAGGTTCACTGACTTGGAAATGAAAAGCACTAAATTTTTGTTAAGTCATAACAGTAAAAGAACACATAAAAACTCCTTGGTAGTAGGTCTGCCGGTTATCTACAATTATCCAGCTCTGAAGCACTGAGACAAAACGGTTAGGAAGGAAATGCTGAGCAAAAGCCATTTTTATATATAGATATATATTAAATAACACAAAATGATACACTTCCTATGAAGATCCAGTATCTCAATCAATGAAATAAATAATGGGCTACCTTTCTGTATGCATCGCATACAAGGATCATTTCTTGCAAGAGCCTGCCATCTGGAGTGGTCTTTGGCACTATCTCCCAAAAGACAAGCAGCAGTTTTTTGATGGTATGATCTTGGAGAGGCAATACAAAACGTATAATGGTCATCAAAAGCCCAGGTAGTTTTTCACCATTCAGAATCATAATGATTACTTTCTTCAAGGCCTCTGTCTTCAACTTGACATCTCCTTTTTCTAGAGATGATAGAAAAATCAAGAAAACAAATCACAGTAATTATGAAATCAGGAAGGCTAACATGTCACAGTTAGTTTAACTGATCAGTTAGGAATACTGATCTTCAGTGTCAGAATATACAAACCCCCTCTGAAGTAGTGCAATATAGTATATCAATAAAATTCACACCCTTACTTCTACTAAAAGGATAAAGAGGAAGCAAGAGATATTTAAAGAATAAGCATGGAGTTCAGACTTAATTCTAGGGTCAACATATTGGAATTAACAGAGTTCAACAAATTTCACGATTGTTTCAATACTTAAATTTAAACAGCCTTTTATACCAGGATACTACAATGCACTCTGATGTCATACATATACTAAATACTGCCATTTCTGCAAGCAAGATACAGCAGTGCACTGAACAAGTGATAAGACAACTTGTTGCTTATTATTGTATTACTTAAATCTGCCTGAGCCCAAACAGGTATTACTTCAAACAGAAAGACAGAAATGGATTTCAAATTTTTGCACGGGGGGTAAGGGGGGAGGGCGCAACACACCAAAACCAAAACACATAAGATAAATATAATGAAGTTTCTCAAAACACAGCAAACAGAGGAATGTACACATTTCACAAATCAATACAACAAAATAAACATCAAATTGACTTGTTTTGAGTTTATAAAATGTAAACAATATTCTAGGAAAGGCACAATGAGAGAATGTGAGAATAATTCAGGCAAGATGGAGTATCCTTCAAATCATCGTCAATTACTTGCCTAGGTCATTTTTTAAGCTGATTTCAGAAGGTGGTTCTGAATCCATCGGAACATTGATTAAGGTGTAACACACGTTCTCTGCAGCTGTCATAGTTCTTGGTTACAAAAGTTTTCTCAATGGAAGAATTATTTTGACACAAATATCAGACAACCTAAAAAACAAGCAAACAAAGCCATCCCAAAGTTAACAGATTTTATTAACAAACAACACAAAAGTATTTTCGCAACTGACTTAATGATTTGAAGGGATTGCTGGGTTTTCTGAGAAGCCACATTCAAAAGCCGCCTCAATTTTCTGTTACGCTAAAACATTCCTGTTAGTACCAAACAATGAAGAACATGAAACTACCCAAAGACAAAAAAAAAGTAAATTAAAGAAATCTTTCCAATACTTTGGCACAGTCAGAGATAACAGAAGTGTATGGGCACCTGACTGCAGCTGAATGGATGCAGCACCTTGTCTCTCATCTACTCACCCCTTGATCCTGGCTATATATTCCCACTACCTCCCCTGCAGTCCTGTGCCCCTCCAGGTGAACTGACCCAAGCTGCAAAATCAGCTGAAAAACATCACAGAAAAAAAAAAAAAAAAAAGGAAAGAGTTTTTGACTTGTTTAACAAGTTGAATCAGCCTATGAAGGAAGCTTTGAAGATGAGCACGAGATCCAACAGAGCAGAAACCAAGGATGGAAGAAAAGACGACATGGTGGAGAGGGAAGCAAGGCTGCCCTTTTGCTTGCCAAGGATCCTCAGCCCAGTTCAACTCTACTATCTAACTGCTCCACTAGACAGTAATGAGGAAAGTAAGTATTTTATAGTAAAAAGTACGAGAAAGTTACAGATCTATCAAAGCTGCTGTGTGGCTAACAGTTCAGATAACAAAATTAGGAATTAAGCTCAATCCTCATTCTCATGTTTGTTTCTTCCTTATATAATAGACATCTAAGATCAAATCAAACTTTTTATTCCATTTCTGAAGTAATGAAAAATGCTCGTTTGAGCTTGCTCAGTTAACGCTATGATACCATACCGACAAGCACAGTTAAGACTGTTACTTTTTATTACATGAGCAATTTTATATTTTCTACAGAAAATGTGTAAAAGAAATTTACAGAAAAACTACTTTCTTTGTGCTTTTATTGTTATTAATTGTCTTGAAATCTTAGACTCAGTTTAACAAATCATTAAAAAAAGGAAGATGCCTTTTTACTTTAAATGATGATACTACACATCAGTCAAATACTGTGTAAAAGCACACACTTGTTTTATGTAATTATTATTACTAACTAATAATAGAGCCAACAGAACTGAACAAAATGATCCCCAAAGTCATGATTTACATAAAAGATGAAAACACTAAACTCCCCAACTGAACGCTATGCTTTCACTGCAGATTACTTTTCTTTTAAGTTTGATGATCTTGAGCAGGGCCATACCTCCAAGACATAAAGCTTTCAAATAACATGCCAATTTCAGAAGTTATTGTCTGAGGATACCGGCTCCTACCCCACATCACCTCTCTTACCTGTGCAAACAACTTTTGAGATGCAAGCCCTGTAAACTCACCACTCCTACTTTATTTTTGAAGCAGTAAGAAAAACAAACAAAATCCAACAGACCAACAAACACCCATTCCCAGCCTGGTTAAAAGCACCGCCCCACAAATAGTTCTGAGGAAAGAGAAGGGAAGGTGGGACGTGGAGTTGCAGTGTTGGAATGAACGGCTGAGACGCTACACAAGCTGGTACTGGGTCCAAAGTCCCTCTTCTCATCAAGCAGGCACCTAGAAAACCTCAGGCTGAACAGTGAGAAGGTGACTTGTGCTAACTTGGGCTGCAGCCTCTTTCTACACAGGAAAACAACACAATTAAAACAGTACCTCATCTACTACTATAAAAAAGAAAATTCCAATACATTTATTTAAAAAATGCCTCCTTCTGTTATGAATTCTATATTTTTAAGGATTAGATCCTTCAAACTCATTGTTTACAAATATCCACATAAATGACTCCTGCTCATTTTTAGAAATACGACTGTCTTCTTGCCTCAGCAGCAACTTTTTGTATACTTTTTCCACACTCTTACCCAGAACTCCTGCCTCAAAGCCCTGCAACTAGCACCTTCATCTCCAATAACTACTCAAACAGACCATAAAGTAGACCTGTGTGAAAAGTAGACCAGGTATCTTTACTCATACAAAGATCTCAACTGCAGAAATTCTCTCAAAAATCACAGCCAAACAGGTCTCTGAAGGATGAAAACGTGGAGTGTATTTTAGGCTCTGAAAAGCAGCAGTGAAAAACAACTCTCCTAAAACGCAGAATTGGGAGACCTGGCAGGGAGAGCAACCACCAAGCCTTCCTCCTTGCAAGGCACCAGGCTTTGAAATCACAGTTTAATCTCACAGAGAATCCCCACAGACACAGAAGCAGGTGCTACTCTACTTCTTCAGCAATAAAATTCGTGAGCACCTGTATAAGGAAATTGAAAGTTATACAGTTTATACAACACAAGAAGACAAAAAGCCACGCCTGCTCTCCAACTACATCCTTGGGAAGCCTTATGAACCGGTGTACCACAGGAACCAAAGCCCTGAGAAAGCGTTGTTCCACCGAGGCACGATCTACAATATATAACATAAAAACGTTTATTAAAAAATCCAGAGTAAATTTATAGCCAATTTAGGGAGACTTCTTTCTTAATTTTCCAGATGATTACTTTTTGCTCAAAACGCCTGGCATAATTAGCTATGAGCTAAAACTTAAAATACTCAGGTGTCACCGTTTGCCTGCCGTTCCCCTGAGCGAATTCTTTTTTTTCCCCCCCCCCCCCGCCACACCACAGCACCTCTCCGGGAGGCCGCACCACAAAGGCACCCAAAAACGCCAGGCGGCCCTAAGCCCCGCAGGCCCGCGCCCCCCGCTAGCGGTGCCCGGGACTCCCCTGAGGGAGCCAGCAGGAAGACGCCGGCGGGGCCGTGA